GAAACTTTGTCACAATAAATTTCTATAAATTCCCTACATGTACCTACCTACACAAAATTTGGCACAAAAAACATCGTCCCTATGCTAAAATTCTGCACCAGCAACATTCCAAGCGCTCGTGCTTACAAACGAGCCAATTGTCTATATGGACTCTCAGCTGCTCCCGGGTCATGCGCAGCGCCTCGCCGACTGAGCGTATGCCAGGCTGAGGCGACAAGCCAGCCCGTCACCGCAAGAACGGCGCTGCCTCCCTCCCCCTCCTCCCGACCCCGTCCCCCGACCGGCGCGGCATTCCTCAGGCCACAATAGTGACTCCCCTCCCTCAGCTGACCCGTCCTCAGGTGCGGTGTATACTGGACAAATACCTCTGCCGGGGCTGACGTGGTCCATGTTTGAACAAGGGATTAAGGGAAGCCTTCAAACATCTCAGACGGAGTTTTCGCCGAAACTACCAGCTAGCGCCATCCACCGGTGAACGGCGGTACTAAACTTCATTCGCTAGTTCCCGAAACGACACACCATGAAAAGTCGGCAGTGCACCCCCCCCCCCCTCCCTCATTGAAGGTGTTCCGCCACTGGAGTCAGCCGCGGATAACTCTAGGAGATGCAACCCATTCGGGCGATACGTGGCAGCCAGCGATCCTCACAAGACTTCCATCACACAAGGCGAGCACATGTTACAATCAAGCCAGATGTCTCGCATAACTCGTGTTTAAAAAAAAAAATCGTGTCCGGAGACGGTCATAGATGTAAAAACGATGGTTCCGGTCAAGCCTAGCTAAAATTCGTTTCAAAAAATAGTTTGCTTCAGTGTCACCACTGACTCCACATATTCAAAGCTGAAGGAACAAATTATTCCGTTTATTATTACTTAAAGATATCATGCAATATCGTGAAAAGAACTAAACCATGTCCAGCAAAATAAGATAAATGGGACCAAAAGTCGGCAGTGCACCCCCCCCCCCCCTCCCTCATTGAAGGTGTTCCGCCACTACTGGAGTCAGCCGCGGATAACTCTAGGAGATGCAACCCATTCGGGCGATACGTGGCAGCCAGCGATCCTCACAAGACTTCCATCACACAAGGCGAGCACATGTTACAATCAAGCCAGACCCAGTAAACATGCCCACGTCGGCCCAACGTCGGTTCAACCTCGGCCCGACATCGGCTGGACGTCGGATATGCCCGCATGTTCCGACGTCCAGCCGAAGTCCAGCCGACGTCGAGCCGACGTCGGGCCGAGATCGTTTGCCGAGGTTGACGAGATCGTTTGTCGTTGGACCGACGGGGCCGACGTCGGCATGTTTATTGGGACAACGCGCCAAAAATATCAACCGGCGGCGGGATTCGAGCCCCCCAGTCGCCGACGTCGGCATGTTTACTGGGACAACACGCCAAAAGCATCACTCGGCGATGGGATTCGAACCCCATGTCATGCGAATGCGAGGTTAGTGCGCTAACCACTACACCACGCAGCCAGCTAACGAAGGGTGTTTGTTTTGTTGTCTTATGCCCTTTCGGTCTGACAAGACCATTTCAGAGCCGGAAGGATCATAGGATGGAGACATTGGTCTTCTTGGCGAACACCCTGGGTCCAGTTAATATAGAGTCCCTGGTCCCATTGCTGTTACCACTACCTGACACTTCTTGGAAAGGGCGACCCCACAATGGATTCATATAGCCACTCTTACACACCTGCACCAACGTTTCCCAAAGTGTCCCTTTGATAAGTGGCACTTTGGCAAAGTGACACTTGCCGACTGGCCTTTCTATATGAACTGGGCCCGGCCCTGGTGAGTTGCCGGGGCTGAGCCTGACCAAAGGATAGGCCGAGCAGCCCCCAAGCACTCACCGCACCCGGCTACGGTCGAGCTCGGCTTACGGGCAATCCCAAATGGGATAAAGTTTCCCGTCCAGTCCGGATCAGGGGGTGGTGGCGTGGAGGAAGATTTGAGTTTCCTGAGGATATTTTGAATACAGAAGCTCTTTATGAAACATGAAACATGTATTTTATAATATTTTAACGGTCAAAACAACGGCCGATGTCGGTCCGACGTCGCCCCGACGTCGGCTGGACTTCAGCAATTGATCTCGGTCCGACGTCGGCCCGACGTCGGCTGGACCTCGGCTGGACGTCGGAACATGCGGGCATATCCGACATCCAGCCGACGTCGTGCCGAGGTTGGACCGACGTCGGGCCGACGTCGGCATGCCGATGCCGAGTTGCCGACGTCACCCCGACGTCGGCCGACGTCGGGCCGACGTCGGCATGTTTACTGGGGATGTCTCGCATAACTCGTGTTTAAAAAAAAAATCGTGTCCGGAGACGGTCATAGATGTAAAAACGATGGTTCCGGTCAAGCCTAGCTAAAATTCGTTTCAAAAAATAGTTTGCTTCAGTGTCACCACTGACTCCACAATTCCACATATTCAAAGCTGAAGGAACAAATTATTCCGTTTATTATTACTTAAAGATATCATGCAATATCGTGAAAAGAACTAAACCATGTCCAGCAAAATAAGATTGTGATATGGACAAATGATTATGCCAGAAGAACCGCGGAACCTACTCAAGTGTGATTGGCTTAGCTGGCCTCAGCGAGGTGAACATCTCATGCAGCAGATTTAGCATTTCTTCCTGGAAGTAGCAAACCCCACGCCGTATGTCCGCCAGTCGCTCATCAGTTGGATCCCGCAGCACGTTTATCTCACTGCAGAAAAAGGACGGCAAGACCTTGTCATCGACAGCCTGCCGCAGCATCTCCAACACGGCATCCATCGCAGCCAGCGAGTCTCGCCACTCGGTTTCCTGCCGCTGTTGGCACATCCACAGCACACATGTCTTCAGGTAGTAGGAAGAGACGTTGGCCAGCCGATCCCGTCTCTCCTTTTTCACCGCCTTCAGCAGCATCAGACAGTAGCGTGCCGACGGCGGAAGACCCCGCACCAGCTGCGCCTCCTGCCGGGAGAACGACAACCGCCACAGACGGTCGTCCTCCGCGTGCGGCCCAGTGGGCACCAGGAGCAGTGTCCTGTCCAGGCGCGCCAGCAGCCGATCCTCGGGCCAGCCGGAAGGTCGCGGCCGCGCTCGCAGCTCCGCTAGCCATGGCACGGCAGCGCTGGCGCACACAGCCACGCACGGCACGCAGTCGACAGCGCCCCGCGTGTCACAAAACGTGACGGCCGGTCCGTTGACGGTGGGAGGCCCTTCCCCACGCCGGTGACGGCGCACCGCCTCTGTCAGAGCGCGGCGTACCGCACCCGCGGTCAGGTCGCGACGGCCCGGGTGGCTGCAGCGCAGACGGCGGCCCCGCAACACCCGGTAGTAACCGAGCACGGCGCTCGGCGCCACACACGGTTCGCCCTCGGCGGCGGCCGCCTCGGTGGCCAGCGGCGACCGGCTGACGTCCAGCTCCAGCAGAAAGTCGTTGTCGGAGCGCAGAGGCAGTCTGTGACCGTGCAGGGAGAGCCAGCCCACCCGGTCGGCCACGCTGCCCGAGATGGTGGCAGAACGGATCTGCAGCCGGCCGGCCGGGTGGCAGTGGGCGCAGTCCTCGCCCCCGGCCGCCGCCGGTACCTCGGCCAGGTGTCTGTTCAGCTGCCGCCGCAGCGTCGGCCCGTGCACTTCGTTGAGAACCTGCAGGTGGACGGGCTCCGGCCGACCGTCGGCGCTGGAGGCCGGCGCCGGCTGAAAGTTGAGGCGCAGCAGGTGACGCACCTCGCGCTCCATACCACTGGTCCGCGCCGGTCGCCCCAGGTGCTCTCACAACCGCCGCTCCCACAATACACGCCGGCGACCGTTTAACGACCGAGCGCACAGTGCCGTGCAGCTCAGCTCAACACAAGGTCACCGCCAGCGCTCGGGCCGGTTGCGGGACCACCGCAGCGCGACGTTCTCGCGCGCGCGCCCGCCGCCGACTGACTCCCGCGCCGGGAGGCAAAGCTGGAAATAGTCAAGCTTGTTCCGGCCATGCCTAGAGATGCAAACTGCAGTTTTTATGCCCAACGCTTCAGGGATCAGCAATACACTGGCGATAGGAAGGTACAGGTCTCGCGAGATTAAGCAGTAGGTTTTGCACTTTTACATTTCCGGTTATATCTCAGAAACTAATCGATCTACGATGAAGCCATTTTACACGATCATGGCCGGCTTGTTACCTACCCAACAAGTCGATCGCATCTTCAGCTTGAGACGACGAAGATATAGCCTGAAGTACACTAAATTTTCTAGGTGCAAAACCTACCGCTAAAACCCGCGAGACCTGTACAAGGTACGCTTATAAAATCATTTGTCGCGTTTTTTTTTACCCCGGAAGGGAATGTTATGCCAACCAGAGGAAATTCTGGTGGCAGAATTCGTTCTAAAACTAGTTCGCATACTTGTGGAGTCATCTGCCGGTAAAGGTGATTCACTTCGGAAAGTTGCACCTCAGCATCTCAAACCAGCGAAAAAGATAACCTTAACCTAGTCAGCGGATGATCTGCAAATTGCTAATAACCGACCACTGCCAATCAGTGGCCAAGACAGGAAAACACTGCAAACATATAATGTGCAGTGCAGCAATGTCCCGGGAACCCTTCCTCGGTCACCGCTCCGGCCGTAAACCATCCCCTTCCCTCACTCAGCCGCCCGGTCACCCCGTAACGTCATGGCGTCCACAACTTCACCGCGCCGTCGAAGCTGACCGCCACTGACTGCTACCCACCGTGTCTTACGCTACTCACGAATACTGCAATAGGTTGAGGTTACAATTTTGCTGATCCGTCCAGTGTAAACATTCAAACTAAATTAACGTAACAGAACAGTTGCTGTCCTCACTCACTCCTCGTACACTGGCAATGTCACCAAAAAAGTCGTCGAACACGTGAAGAATTAGCACTTATGAACTTTGCTCAAAGCAAAGCAACGTTGGGCTTCAGTTTCACAAAACATGCTGTAAACGTACATTATTAGAAAGCAATAGTTTACAAAGATCCCGCAGACACCAAAACTATCATGATCAGGTAGTCAGTTTATTGGACGTCCATTCTCTTCGCAAGCAAGTCCATTTCGCACCGGCTTCCGCTGTTGAAGGCCAGTAACTTCATAATGAATTACAATGATGATAGGAGACGATACCGCATGTGCAGAATCTGGAATGTGGACCTGAACACGTACAATTACTGTTTTGAATGATATATTTACACTTTAAAACGTATGCACGGGATTGTTTGTTCGTCTTTCTGATACACAGTACCTATCCATATTTGAAGCGACGAGAGGCATATCATTACTCATGCTCGATCATTTAACGATCGAATTTATGATGAATAAAAAGTTTCACTATAACGCAGCGAGTTTATACGCACGAACACAGCCTTCCCCAATCCCCAGTCCAAGCTGAGGCGTATTTCACAGAGTTTGTAGTTGCGGAGCTGTTCGGGTTCGCTCTCAGCCCCACTCAGCGATCAGGTGCGGCGCCACCGCCGCCTCCAGCGGACGGAGGGAGGGCGTCACTCCCGCCATCTGACGGACGGCCGGCGGGGGCCGCCACCGCACCGTCGGCCCCTCGGTCACCTCCTGCTCGGCCAGCCGCGGCCGCTGCCGCAGCCAGTCGGCCAGACTGGGCGGCGGCCGCTGCTCGGCCTCGGCCTCCGCGCGCAGCCGCTCCAGCTCCTCCGGCGAGAGGTGCGAGAAGCGGCAGTCGTCGCCGAACGGGCAGCCGGCCGGAGTGGAGAGCCGCCAGCAGGGCCGCCGGCCCGCCACCTCCGAGCGCCACTGGTCACCGGCCGACGCCAGCTGCCGGTAGTGCTCGGCACGGGCGGCCATGTGCGCCGCGCCCCGCACGTGCCGCCGCCACGTATCGGGCGAGTAAGCGAACCGTGTGCCGCAGTAGTCGCACAGGTACTTCTTCACCATGGTGTATGGCTATATGACAGATGTCCTGGGCCAGAGAGTTGAACAGTGGCTAGGTATCAAAGAGAAATGGTAGCACACCGACATGAAAGTAACATATAACATCATCAAACACAAAAAAATAGAAAGGCAAGTTAAGGAGAAAATGCAAAAAAAGGTATAAATTTATAATCATGGGCCAGTTTCACCAATCTTAGACCCACCAGCAGCAGTTACTTTTAGCTGAAGTCACTTAAGATTTTTGCTAAGCAAGTTAACTGGAATAATTATCAGAGTTAAACTAATATTTCTATAGGAAACAGAGTTATTTCCTCTCTTAGCACCCCTAAAAACTGGATAAGTTGGCAAAATAAGTCATTAGAACATGAAAATTGAAAGGAAAGGACACATCGACAGTTCCAAGCAAGAACATCCTTTGTGTCAAATTTTTTGAAGGTGAGATTTTTACAATGTTCTTTCTCGGAACTGTCGACATCCTTCTTTTGTCGGCACATTCGTCTTCAACATAGGCTGGTGCAAAGGGAGGATTTCAAAGTAAACTGCTTTACTGAATATTTCATTAAATTAAATGCTGAATAGTAAGATGATAGGTACTCAAGATTTCAATATAATGCAATTTCATTTATGGCAAAACTCCTGATGTAGAACTAGAGAGTAGAGCCTATGCTATGACATTACCCGCAAAAAACAAGGCAAAATTGCGCATCATATGATAAAAAATGAGCACATGAAAATCATGCAAATGCACTGGAGCCGCTACAATGCATATTTTTACCCAAATTAATCAAAACAATAAATTTCCGGCTCACCCACTGAACTCTATAATGTGGAATGCGCATCGGCCGCCAAATGGTGTCCAACGGTGCCGCCATGTTGCGCAGACCAGAAAGCGGCCGCCGCCTGTGCTGGGGAATAGGGAATTCGGGACCTCGATTTACGTTTGCGGTCGCTGCATCCGTTACGCTCAAGCTATGTGGACACGGAACCCGGCATCTTACGCAGAATTGAGTGGAGAACAAGATGAAATCCTAAAAAATCATCAGCTATAAGGAACTAATACGTTAAACCCTTATAAGTAAATGGGGAAATATGAAAATTGTTATTTTGGCGCCGAGAATGATCTGAAACTATCTCAAGCATATAAAATCATGATTTCATGCACTCTTTGCAAGGTTCTATGCTTCATATTTGCATTGTTGCCCTTGCGTGACGTCATTTGTGACGTCACAAGGGTCACCATTTTTCTTCAATAACTCCCGATCAAATTGAGCTAGCGAGTTGGGAAAGCCACCAATGGACTCAGGAAGACCTGCCGAATCGAATGATATGCGACATGACCTCTTTCGACCAACTTCGTGACCTGGGGGTGCTGACCTGACCTTGACCTGAGGTCAACACCCTAAGTTGACCTGACCCGAACAAAAAGTATATCACTCGATGCGCCTGAGCTAGCTGAACACGATGATGCCAAGATTGCGGCTCTACGGCCATTTTTGGCGAAGTTATTTACCAAAAACCGAACCCGTGCCTTAGATCACTTGACCTGACCTCAGAGGTCACCGGTTGACCTGAGACCCTTACAGCGGGTTCCTACCAGTCACTCTGCATTATACTTTGCCGCATACGACCACTTTACCGCTTAATTCTAGTTTAATTAGCGGTGCATTAGCGAGGTGGGTTCAATCAACCCCCTCGGCCGGGGCAAATGTAGGTCAGGCGAGTGAATTTGAGGAATTCTGAAGATACGATCGTGTTCCCCACTCAATTCTGCGTAAGATGCCGGGTTCCGTATCTACGTAACTTGAACGTAACGGATACGGCGGCCGCAAACGTAAATCGAGGTCCCGAATTCCCTATTCCTCAACACAGGCGGCAGCCGGTTTCTGGTCTGCGCAATATGGCCGCCACCGTTAGACACTACGGCCAATAGGGTTGAAGCGGCATTGCTCCCCTGTGGGCTCACCCCATACACACACATATCGGGGTTACATGAGCACAGTAAATACGTATTAAGCCGCTAATTCGAATTAGGAACGCATTACCGACTCATGTAGCCACCTGCTAGTACGAATCGGCGATCCGATCCGCGGTTACATGAGCAAAGCAAATACGTATCACGATCGGATTCACCGCTAATGCGAATCAGGAGCGTACTACCGACTCATGTAAATAGTAAATATCCACATAATTTCAGTTGAAACATTTTTCTGACAGCACTACAGACGAATCAAGAGAGGCAATTGCCCAATGAGTCAAAGCAAGACAACTTTATGTTCAACTTTTTTTTGTTAAGTTAATTGAGAATGTTTTGAGCAGATTAAATGCAAAAAAGACATAAGATAATAAATTTTTAATTTAGTCACCTCTATTGCTACGGAAGTGCGCCACATTTGTATGCTATTCCGTTTGTAATGCGCATCGGGCCGAGAGCCAAACTAGATCCGTTTGACGTCACTGATACGAATTTGCTCATGTAGTCGGTGCACTGAATGCGTTCTTGGGGAGCTGATGCGAATTAGCCTAGTGCGTATTTGGAACGGATCGCTCATGTAACCGAAACGTCCGAGGCACACGATTCGGGCCGTATTTCACAAGAACTATTCTTTGCTGACTGGAAGCGTCAAAATGCAAAATACTTAACAATTTTTTTATTGGCTGCCTCGTAGAAAATAGCAAAAAAATGTTGGTATTTTGGTTTAGTCTTTGCATGTGAAATAAAATGAATGAAATATTTTGATAGATAATTTTTTCTGACCACCCTGCTGTCGCTGCATGGCGAATCAGTGCCCACGGACTGTCCCACCTTAACATTAGATTTGAGTTGAGATAGCCATCTTGATGGACGTTCTTTGAAAATCAGTGCCGTGAAAACCGTTTCTCCAGCAATTACTTCATCGCAAAGAAATTTGAGTTTGATTTTGACATCTGTGCAAATAAGTGCCACAATGTATTGGTATAGGCACTTAAATCTGATGACGTCATCAGGCTTTCGAACGTCCGTTAAATGTTTGACTAAAACGTTTTGTAGCACGCGGTGGTATATGCTGCGTTGCGCGCAACAAATGCCGCACTTTTAAATAAAGTCGCTAGGAACAGCGGAGATCCCAAAAAGTAAACAAAAGTAAAAGTCTAATATCTTGAAAACCGGTGAATATTTTTCGGTGAAATTTGGTAGATATTCGTTTTCGCTCTTTCTGAACCGAGCGACATCACTTTCATGCCAATTCATAAACTTTTTTAAAGGTGGGAGGGTCCCTTTAAAACAAGAAAACTTTGTTTTCATTTTTTGATTTCATGTTAATTTTAAATGTTTTTGAGCCTATCAAATGATATAAGTATTTAAGATTTAGCTCAGTCGTCCCGGTAAATGCCGCAACTGCGCTATGACTGTACGCTAATCCTATTCCGTTTGTGATGCGAATTACCGGCCGTCGAGGAGTCAGCCCGGGTGAGCCAAACAAGATCCGTTTGACGTAGATAAAACGAATTAGTCTCATGTAACCGGTGCCGTAGATCCGTTTGTGGGGAGCTGATGCGCATTAGCGTAGTGCGTATTTGGAACGGATCGCTCATGTAACCCCGGTAACAGCCTTGACCGCCTTGACAAAAACAAAATAATAATGCTGCGTCACGATTGTAACAAAAAAGCTGGCATTTACCGGGGTTACATGAGCGATCCGTTCCAAATACGCACTACGCTAATGCGCATCAGCTCCCCACAAACGGATCTACGGCACCGGTTACATGAGACTAATTCGTTTTATCTACGTCAAACGGATCTTGTTTGGCTCACCCGGGCTGACTCCTCGCAAGCCGGTAATTCGCATCACAAACGGAATAGGATTAGCGTACAGTCATGGCGCAGTTGCGGCATTTACCGGGACGACTGAGCTAAATTTTAAATACTTATATCATTTGATAGGCTCAAAAACATTTAGAATTAACATGAAATCAAAAAATGAAAACAAAGTTTTCTTGTTTTGAGTCAGTGGGCACTGATTCGCCATGCAGCGACAGCAGGGTGGTCAGAAAAAATTATCTATCAAAATATTTCATTCATTTTATTTCACATGCAAAGACTAAACCAAAATACCAACATTTTTTTGCTATTTTCTACGAGGCAGCCAATAAAAAAAAATGCTTAGTATTTTGCATTTTGACGCTTCCAGTCAGCAAAGAATAGTTCTTGTGAAATACGGCCCGAATCGTGTGCCTCGGACGTTTCGGTTACATGAGCGATCCGTTCCAAATACGCACTACGCTAATTCGTATCAGCTCCCCAAGAACGCATTCAGTGCACCGACTACATGAGCAAATTCGTATCAGTGACGTCAAACGGATCTAGTTTGGCTCTCGGCCCGATGCGCATTACAAACGGAATAGCATACAAATGTGGCGCACTTCCGTAGCAATAGAGGTGACTAAATTAAAAATTTATTTTCTTATGTCTTTTTTGCATTTAATCTGCTAAAAACATTCTCAATTAACTTAACAAAAAAAAGTTGAACATAAAGTTGTCTTGCTTTGACTCATTGGGCAATTGCCTCTCTTGATTCGTCTGTAGTGCTGTCAGAAAAATGTTTCAACTGAAATTATGTAGATATTTACTATTTGGTTTTCACTATATTTATTGTTGAAAACTTGACAAAATACCGACATATTTTTTAAATATTATTTCAAAAGAAGAAAATGAAAAAATACCTATTATTTTGCATTTTAATGTTTCTTTTTGCGAAGAAATAGTTCCTGTAATACGTATCTTGGTCCTATTCGCTTCTAAGCCTCTTTCCCAGCGGATTTTGTTCGGACCGCCGATTCGTATTAGCAGGTGGATACATGAGTCGGTAGTACGCTCCTGATTCGCATTAGCGGTGAATCCGATCGTGATACGTATTTGCTTTGCTCATGTAACCGCGGATCGGATCGCCGATTCGTACTAGCAGGTGGCTACATGAGTCGGTAATGCGTTCCTAATTCGAATTAGCGGCTAAATACGTATTTACTGTGCTCATGTAACCCCGATAATTGACCTCTATAGTAGCCTAGACGGGCGACTGCCGCGCCGCGGCCGGCACGGAATCGTTCCCGCATGGGGGCGCAGTGGCGCCACCTGCAAGTGGTCAGAAGTTCCCGGTCCCTGTAGACGGTCCATGTTAAATGGGTAACTTTTGAAGTTGATTTGTATGAAAGATTTAGCCTGCGGATGGCTGAAAAGGATTGTTATGTAACTGAACATGCATTCTTAAGATGTGATGTGTTCGATTGCCAACAGGATGGCTCGAGCCATTGAATAAAGTGCATTATTTCAAATGAACCGGACGCTGGCAAGTGGCATGGTGCAAAACATATCGAAACGTGGAGAGGCTCCCTGCCGTAGGTAAGGCCATGCGGGACGAGGAACGTACCCGCTTCCTACTCAAGTGGCAAAAGATGATCAATTATAGCAACCGAAACCGCAACCAAAACCGGGGGGGGTCGAACGGACCCCCCCTCCTCAGTTTTTCGCAAATAATTCGCGTAAAAAGCGACCGATCGCGACGAAACTTTCAGTAACCTCGCGTAAATCAGTTTTACACCTACCCAAAAAAAAAAATCATGACCCGGACCCAGATGACCTTTGACCTGTGATCTACTTTTCGAGACCATATGTTTGGCCGGAATCGCGATTGTCGGCTCGCATTAGCCG